TAAAATGCACCAATAAAATGCACTGTTAGAATAACCATAGAACATCGTAACCAATCATAGACATTATTCCAAACAAAGTTCAAGGTCAAAAACCAGCTAGTGCCTCAAAATATTCTCCTTATGCCTCAAAATTTTCCTTGCTACCTCAAAATTTCCTCAAGTCCCTCAGAAACCATGGTAACTGCAAGTTTTAGCCAATCAAAATGCTCATTCAAGCTTGGGTACCTCAGTAGCCGCTGACAAGTACCTCAAAAAAATCGCTTTGCTTCAAAAAGCAAACTATAAAAACTGGAATCAGATTTGAGTATTTTGCGATCAGATACTGAACGCTGATCGCAAATAGTAACTTAACTCAGTTAACTGGACTAAAACCTATGATCTCAATTATTACGTAATTCTTTGAAAATTTTATGTACCTCGCGTGAGGGTTTTGAGGTACCCTAGATCCGCCACTGATCCAACGTGTAACAAATTTAAACAGAACGCGAGCAAATAATGAACGTCTTAACAATGTAATCAATCGGACAAGCTATGGTAACAGCAATAAGTTTCCCGTCAGGAGAATAACTGACAGCTTTAAGTAAATTGAAGTAGCTGTGTCTCTTTGGGTGCACAATCAACCTTATTTGATGGGCTAATTGAAATTTCTCAGAATTGTCAGAAAGATTTAAAACGCGCCACACACAAAACAGCCCGTAATCATCACATATTGCAATTTCTTTACGATCTACTTTGAAGATTTACATGGTTTTATAATAATTTATACAAAGTTTTGTCCAACAAATTGTCCTGCTCATTTCAGTTTAAAGTAAATGGTTTGAACCCGGGAGTATCGTTATATGTTTGTAAATGATAATCGTCCAGGTTAATAAAGTCCTGAGAAGGACTGTTTCTGTTGTTGTTGGACGACCATCATTTACAATCATTTAAGTTTGATCGTCAAAGCAATAAAATTTAAAAGAAGAAAAATTTATAAAAATTTAAATTGTGATATATCATTATATTTGTGTCACAATGGTTGAATCATTTCGCACGATATTAGAGTTCAAAGACTTCCGGTACAGCCATTTTCAATGTTAAATTTGTAGCCTCGACGTGACGGAAGAGACCTATCTAAGTTGTGTAACTTGTGTTACGTTGTAAATGACTTGCCTTGTTCATATTTTCCAGGCAGATAAATCAATCCCAATGGAAGTTAACCATTCTTGCTTGTTTTATCCAAAAGTACTCGACCAAATCTGCTTGCCAGTTTACGTTAACAAAGAAAGTCATTTATTTAGTATTCATGTTCAGAAATCATTAAGAGCGTATTAAGGGGCTGTTCACATAGCCCGGTAGCTGGGATTCAGTGAAGCATTAAATCTTTTTGGCAAATGGATATGATTAAATACTTCAAAACAAAAAAACTTGTTTGAGCAATTACTCTATGTTCTGAATTTCCAAATTCACAAAACCCTTAAAATGAACCTGAGTGAACTCAGAAACCTTAATGAACTGTTTCCACTAAAAATAAATATATACACAAACGCTAAACAAATATCTGTTTTTGTGGGAAATCATCCAAATCAAGATATATTTCTCTCGTGCATGTTTTCAATAAATATCGACCTAATTTCCTGCGTTCATTAAATATCTCCAAAATTCCTTTAGCCTTTGAAGAGGGATTTAAACAACTTTTATGTTTAACAACATTTTATCAGGAAATGAAGCGGTATTTTTAGAGGACTATCCAGTACATTCCAATGAGCTAAAATCATTGTAAAAAATTTTTGACCATTTTTTTTGATTTTCTTTATTTAAGTGTTAGTTTGGTGCATTTAACATTAGCTTGAAAGAAGTAACTCACACATGTAAAATAAACACAAACACAGTATAGGAAAATACTGTTAGGTCCACTTCGTGTGCAACTGGCTGCTGTATATTTAATTAGATTACATCATTCCTATTGGTCAAGAAAAGCAATTGATTGGCTGCCACTATGGCAATTACACGCGTAATAAGATATGCGTGGCAGGAAAAAAATCAATGGAGTGGCTCTACTGTATATTCTCTATACTGTGACACAAATGTTTTGCTTATCATCGTCAAAATAAATTTAATGGTGTGTGGTTGACTAACCGTTATTCATGATCACAAATCATTAAAAGAGCACACTTATTTACTCGAGTAAACAACAGCTCAAAATCTGGATTTGGTCACCATATTCTTGATCTGCAAATTCAGCCATGTTGGTGGTCTGACACTAACAAATATTTCATCAGTGTTATTGGCACCAGCCGACATGGTCGAGAAACATTGTTTGGTAAATCTCAAGAGAGTGGTTGCAAATCAAGAATTGATGGTCTTATTTTAAATAATATTTTATCAATGATATTGTAGGCACCAACGGACGTGGGCAAACGACATTGTTTGGAAATCATGGAATGATTGCAAGTCAAAAATTGGCTGACATAATTAGATCGATTACGAGAACGTCAATCAGTTGTCAAGTGGTCCAAGACATTGAACTCAATAAACTCAATATATATTCATGCGTGTAGCTACATATGCATCAAAAAACTGCAAACCTTTGAAATCCTTCGAAGTTTGGAAAATATAAACTTGAAACGAAGCTCATGGAAGGATTAAAACAAAGTGCAATTTTGAGTTTTGTGCAGTTTAATAGTTTATTACATAAAAGGTTTAAATGTACTATAACTGACTGTAAAGGAAAATATCTCTTGTTTATAGAACGATATAATAAGTCATTTAAGAGATTTAAAATTGAACTTTAAGCCCGTTTCAAACGTCAAACTTTGCATGCACAAAATGCATTCAAGACAAAAATAAATGAGATGAAACTCCTAATTATTTTTTGTTTTAAATGCACTCGTCTCGAAAAAAGTTCAACGTTTGAAATGGGTATAACTCTGTCACGATTTGTACATCTGCTTACTATTGAGTCTATGTACACAAAATTTTGAACAGCCACTGTGAATATGAATAATATAGCAAAAAACGACGCCACACTAATCATAACGAAAAAAGGTGCCAAAGATCTCCTGATTACTTCTGATGTCTAAACTTCGCAAAGACATTTAAAGAGTTAGACATTCACTTAAAAAGGTGATGAGGGGGAGAGTTCCTAGACATACAAGTGGTTTCAGTTTCTAAGTAGGCCAAGAAATAAGTGAAAGGATAAAGAGGAAAGTCCGAGAATTCTTCCTATTTGCGCTCCAGTGTAGACGGGAGACTTCGTAAGTCTTTTAACATCCACTACAACTCGATCTCAATTAAATAATTCGCGAACCAATATGAAAGAGGTGCAGTTTAGCCATACCAAGCACTTTTCAATTGAGCATCGTATAGTGAACGGAGTCCTAGGCCTTTAAAAATTTGAGGTACATGATTTCTGAGAAATATGAAGGTGAGATAAAAGATGGTCTCACAGGAGCAATTGTGAAGAAAACAATCTTTGGAAGAGCTAAAGAGGTTGGATATACGATCATGAAATCATGAAAAGACGGAGCAATGAAAAAATGGGTCTATTTTTCTCTGATGGTTCCCATGAATCTTTATTGTAGATGGGAGTCACATATGCTGATTTCTTCATGGAGAAAGCGCTAGTGAGCGATTCAAGATTTTTTGTTGACTATTAAATGTGTATCTAAAGTACCTACTATATATGTTATATCTGAAAGTAGTTCTTAATGGTGTGGTGTTGATAATTGATGGTTGTGGTAAAGTAGAATGTTAGGAATGTTAAGGTTGTTTTGGTAGTATTTGACTACTAACAACTCGAACGATAATAAACAATGTGAAAAAAACTTTATGATTTCTTTCTCTTTGATAGCTTTGCTTTCCTGTTTTTTTTTTCAATCCTCTGTATTTTTGATCTGCCAATTAACTGAAAATTGACCCATTTTACACCACCCATGACTACTGTGGGGGTGGGGGTGAGGTGGAGTGTTAAAGCAGCCTATTGTCTTTGTGGATGAACTTGGTGAGGCACTTGACCAACGCATTTAATAATGAAAGTGTTACTGCATATTGACATTGCCAAATGATGAAACCCTATTATAACATTCACTGTCGTGTGCAGATATTTTAACAATGGCTTATAAAACGACTAAACAAACTTATAACTTCCTTTTTTACAAACTAGTTACGTGTAATGTTGCAAGATTAAAAGAGCTTGTATTTAGAGATCAAAATGAAAACTTTTTAACGAAAACAATACATTAATCAGTACCATACTCACATAATGAATCCTGTTGCAAGATTAAACAAAATATGATACCACCATGAAACATTTGGAAAATAGGTTATTTGTGAGGCTGAATATGGTAGGATATGGAAAAAAGCTGGAAACACCCCGTTTTAGTAATTTTATGACTTGTTGTCAGAACTCAACCTTCTATGACCGATCTTGCTGGAAACTGATAGCAAATTTTAAATGGCACAATCTACATGCGATTAGCTACTATGAAAGGCAGGAAGATAATTCCCATTGTCAGTATTAGATTTACACTCTTCGAGATTACTTTAAGACAACTTCATCCCAATTTTTGATTGAACTTTCCAACTTCACATTCAAAGAAGTTTTCGCTGGCTGCAAAATGTAATAGTAGTTTTAAGAAGCTGTTAAATTACGGATTTTAGCAGTGGTATTTTCTTAAAATGCATCATGTCAGTGTGAAAGGTCTGTTTATTAAGTTGAAAATTTGGTTAAACCTGTAAAAACCTGAAATTCATAACATAAGTGTTCAAGCAAGTATTTGCACATTCTGTGGGTGTCTGCAGACCCATACGCCCATGTCTTCCTAAGCCCCTGATTGACATGTTCTTTTTAAAATCCGTTAAAACAATACATTTGAGAAGGACTTGATCCTTTGAAGCCAAGACTTTTCAGATTGACTCTTACTTGGCTTCTTGATTATGCCTTATTTGTCGCCGTGGCCAAATCATGCTTATAAGAATATTCCCTCATCCCAAAAAATATGATCAAAATTTTCATATTGTTGAAGCGACATTAACCTTTATGACTTTATTTAGCAAAATACTAGTTCAATACTAAGAAATATATATAAAGTATAGCTAGTAGCAAACATAGCCCAATCTTTTACTCATACAATGCAAACTTTCAGTAAAATTAGAATAACAGCTTATGAAGTTGATAGCTTTAGTCTATTTGATTGTGTTTCTGACGTTGAACAATTACACAGCGTTTTAGTACAAAGAAATTTTAACATGCTACGATAGCAATCCGGTATAGCGCAAACGTAGCATGAGTGCAGCACAGACATGACGCAATTCAGCGACAAATCTTAAAACTAATCAATATGTTGATATTATAACTAAATTGGTTTAATTGTGTTGATATGATTACATAAAAATGTCCATACATACGCATTGTCCAATACACGGTGCTTATTTAATATGAACTTAGTCTCAAAATGTTCTCAGTAAAATATTTGAATTCGTACACTGAAAAGAAAAATCTTCACCTCATTGCACCTGTTTTCACTCGTAATTAAAAATCGAATCAGCCAAATCAAATTTGTTCATGCTATCTAAGGTCTCCACTAGTTTGCTCCGAAATTCAGTTTTCCACTTGTTGGACAAGATTGACAAAATTTTCTGTGCCTTTATTTGTTCATTTTCATAACTCGTGTTTGATCGCACATTATCAATTTCGTAACTTTCCATATTCATCATGGAAGCCAATTCATCCCAGAAACTTGCTATGTGATAACTCAGTTGACATATTTCACGAGTAGCTAAAACATCTTCATTTATGCTTGTCTATGAAAAGTTTAAATGAAAAGGATTACAAATTTGTCATTAAAGATAAATTTTGTTCATATAGCGTGATTTAACACGAAAAATGAGAAATTCTTGGTGTGAAAGTTACGTCACAGCTGCCATGTTTGATGATTTTAACGAAGGCTTTCGTACATATTTTTATCTCTGACTTTCCCATCTATGCTATTTAGGTGCTTATGATGTTTTTCTATGTCTCAATTGGGTTTTAATTTGATTGCTCTTCTTGCTTTTATAATTTCAAAAATTTAATTAGTCTTTCATTTTTAGTGTCTTTTCAAATCTTGTATAAGTCTCCTACAAAACTTGCTTGATAGTAAATAAATTTAGGAGTATGGTCGTCAGACCTCCGTTCTGAATTTTAGTGGCTTTTTGCAAACTTAAATATCAGATACAGTTAAGTATTCAGACAGATTCTCACAGAAAATATGCAAAGTAAGCTTGAGTGTTAAAGCAATACACACCGTATCGAATGGCATCGAACGTAAATCTTCATGACCTATCGACGGGATATCGTAATTGGCGATTCTAAGATCATCTAAAATGGAGTAAAAAAAGAAACATGTGACACCAACTTCATTTAGCACCATCAGAACAAAAAATTGGCGTTGGAAGGAGATTATGGAGGTGCAAAAACCCACTGACGGGAAACGTTTGCCCTAAAGTTAATTTACAATAACCAATGGAAACCGTATGAACAGACATTGTTTATAAGGAAAGTGCTATACAATTAAGAACTTTCCTATTAAATACTAAATCACACCGTTTCTTTTTAAATCTACTGTGTTAACAGAGAACAAAGAATTGCAATTGTGTGAATAAATAACAGAATGTTATGCACTGCATACATCAATGTTGAATTTAATATCTTTGACTTTCTTCGTATCAGTTAAACATTTTCTGTAATAACTTGCAAAACTTATTGAGGATTTCGCCATGCATTAGACTGCAAGGTAGATCGTTTAAGAGGTAGAAGGAGCAGTTACCCGTGTCATTTAAATTGATTGCATTAATTTAAAGTCATACACGACTTATTACCATTCAGTTATCTTGCTCATGTTGAAATGGGGGAAGAGACTATAATTTGACTAATGGGATTTAAAAATCAAAATAAATGGGAGGAAAAAGGGACAAAGAGCGACAAACTCTTTAAAAAATGCAAAAAGACGTTCCGACACTTTTCATTTAAGCAAACATTTTGGCCAACAAATTCCCAAAAAAAGTTAAACGAGACGGTACGAACTAAAGAGTTAAAGCGTTTAGAGTTTAGAGCACTTAAAATCAAGAAAAAAAATTTTGTTTTCACCTTGCCCTGCCTCATCCATATCTTCGACGATATGTGAATTATCAATAACAGAAGTTTCTTCAACTGAATAAGCGGACGCTTCATTCCCATACGTATTAATGTTTTCTTGGTCATCATCATCCTTATCTATAATAATGAGCATATTTTAATAAAAATTAGATTGTCTTCTGTATATATACAATGCGGAGTGTTAATTTCCAGTTCAAGACATATATAGAATAAGAGTAAAACTATAATAAGGACAAGAATGACGAATGACTGATAATATATCAAAGATATTCATAAATATAGCGACAATTACAACTTTAGACAAGAATTAACGAAATAATGAGGATAAAGATCTTTCAACACAACTTAAACAAAAATTGATCAACCAACAAATGGTGTTAATGTAAAAACATTATTTAATTTAACGTATTATATAACAAGTACATAATTTAACTAGCAATGGTGAAAAATTCAACAGAATATGCTTACCCTTTAGTTCTAGATTGTTTTTAAGCTTTTCATTCGACCTAACAGCTGCGTGCACCCGAACAGGAAGATTAGGGAATGTTTTGAGGAAAAATGTCTTGTGATCACCAATCTTATAAAATGGTTCTGGTTGCGGTCTTGTCCGTGGTCGATCATACCAATGTTCGCCAATATTTCGAATAAGTCTCAAACATTCTGTCCACGAAGGCCCATATTTCCTTCCAATTACCAAATAATCATAAATATCATTTTCCATTTGACTTTTCCAATCTGAGGATTCGCTATTTAAATGTTGAACAATACTTGACTGGGAATCGTTTGTTTTAATCGACTGTAGGTTTCCAACTTTACATAAAAATTCAAATGTCTCGTCATCCGACATAAGAAATGGATGTTTCATAGCTTCGTTGGCAGATGGTCGTTTTTCTGGTTGTAGTTTTAACATCCACGACAGAAGGTCTTTTAACGTTTCATCCTTAATTTCGTCCAAGCCAACAGGGTTTCCATTTAACATATTGTTCAATCTATGGCTCTCAATTCCAAAAGGATGTTTGCCTTTTGTTGCAACATAATAAGCCACCATTCCTGCATTCTAAGATAACAAGAAATGTAACGTTAACAGCATAATTAAACTCTCACAAATTAAATTTCGTTGTGAGTTTTGTAAATGTTAACATTCTTACACTTACATATACATCAGACTCTTTTTTGTAACGTCCTTTTTTTGAATCTTCATTACGTGCTTTATTTAAATCTTCATTACGTGCTTTATTTGAATCTTCATTAGGGGCTTCATTTAAATCTTCATTAGGGGCTTCATTTAAAACTTCATTAGGGGCTTCATTTAAATCTTCCTCTCTGAATGATTCAGGAGCAATCCAATATAAAGTACCCCTGTTAAAATTGCTTTTATGCGTTTTAGATCCATTCTTCAATATTTGACTAATGCCAAAGTCAGCTATCAGAAATCTGCCATCTACGTCACGGAGAACATTGGAAGGCTTCAAATGCCGATGAAGAATAGGATCTGGGCCATTATGAAGATCAGCTAATCCATTCAAAATTTGTCTAAGAATATCGGGAAGAGCTTTTTGAAGATCACTTAAAGAAGAAGATTTCACAAACTTCTCCAGTGATTCCTCACATAAGTCTAACATCAAATAAACATATTCTGTTGCAGTATCTTCCTCTAAGAAGTAATAATTCACAACATATTTCGAATTTTTTGAATTGAATTCATTTAAAATTTTCTTTTCATGCTTTGCAGGCTTGAGGTAGTTGTCTTTAAGCATTCGTTTCACTGCTTTACCGTAACCATCCTTTGTCAGTCCAAGATAAACACGGGTTTCGTTACTTCCTTTGCCGAGGCAAAACTTTTCCGAGAAAATTACACGTACATTGCCCACATGTTTAATGTCTGCTCCGGGATAACACAATTCTGACAACAGACTTCTATGCTGAATTGAATGACCAAGATATTTCCACTCTTGCAACTGCGGTTCTTCAAAAGAAATAAAAATATTACATTCAGAGGTGAGTGCAACAAAACTAATCAAATTCATAAGAATAGATAGCTCAAATTTACTCAAATACACAAAAATTTGGGAAACGACTTTAAAGTTTTGTAAAATCCTAGCACCAATCATTAAAGTTGTTAAAAATTTATCAATCGTGCAAACATATATCTGTTAAGATCAAAGCTAAGCGATACAGAAAAATGTCGTTTTTAATTCAATATAGCACTTTCGTTTAAACAACGAAATGCTAACAAAATGATTTTTAGTGTTGAAAAATGAAAGTTTTTGAGCATGTAGCTATTTCTTATGTTTAAGATTATATTTTATAGTGGAAAATATAACAAAACGGCTTTGTTTCAACAAAAGATTTTTTCACTCTTTTGCCTTTTAGATAAAGTCTCTAATCTTTGCTATTAAACTTTTAATGAAATGACAGATTAAATAGTTTTTACTTCATGAAACTTTACGCTCTGGCATCTGTCTTATTCTTATTGCCACTATCTCAAAACCATACAACAATGTTGGACTTGTTTTGTCTCGAACACATTTCTTTTCATATTAGTTGAAAATATATTTTCATTGAACACAAAGGACCCTTTTCTTCACCCTTCCACATACACTCTACATCAATCTGAACTTGTAATTCGTGTAAACTCATTACTCATTCGTTTACATTCTTGAGCATGATTCTTCTTCTCCGTTGCATGAAAACGTTTGGCCTATGGTTAATTTACACTGACGCAAACCATATGAATAGATAGTGTTTGTAAGAAAATTGACAAAAACTGAGCATTTTCCTAACTAAAGCGAAGACTTCGTCATTCATGATAATAAACATGTAGAGGTTCCATTTCTCTTCCTTCATTGTATTCATACACCTCCAATTGTTTGATGTTTCTCTACACTTCTTACTGTGTACTTAACTGATGTTTGCCTTCATCCTATCTACGTAGGCCCTGTTCACATGAGACCGGAACAAAGTCAAACCGAAATGAAAATCATAATTTTTTGCGTGTTTACTCAGGACCGCACGAAATTACGAAAAATCCTCATTCGCGTAATGCCTCCTTTCCAGGCTAATTTTAAGCTTGCTAGCCATTTTGCTTTTGTAATTTGCTTTTGTGCGCATGCATTGCTGCCATTTCAGACCGATCGGAACAGTTATTTTAGTTTACAATGATGTCGGTTTCATTTCATACCGTTCTGAACTCAGTTGAATCAGTACAGCAGGCAGTGCGACTTCAGATTCGTAACGGTCCTATGTAAATATATACTGGAAATAATTTTATGACCGATAGAAGCTGGTACCACGGTTTGACTTTGTTCGGTCTCATTTAAACATGGCCATACTATACTCTATGTCTACCTCTTATTCTTGAAACGTGCTCTTCTTGTGTCTTTCTCATTTACATACAATTATGCAATCTATCAATAATATTCACTCCTTATTTCTATGGAGCAAAGTCAACAACATTTAGGACAATCTTGCTGCAAATTACAAGGAAGTTCTTCTGAAAAAACACGAGTAATATTTTGCATGTCACGTGGTACCAATAACTGTGAAAATTGCGTACATAATCACAGCCACAGTGTAGTGAATTTACAATAGAGCCACTTCATTGATTTTTTCGTGCAATGCATATCTTATTACGCATGTGATTACCATAGTGGCAGCCAGTCAATTGCTTTTTTTCACTAATAGGAATGATAAAACGGCTAACAGCAGCCAATAATTTAATTACATATACAGCAGCAAGTTGCACATGATATAGACCTACTGTATATTCCCTATGCTGTTTACAGCTCTATCATATAGTTTCATACGGCAATGACTGTCTTGACTTTAGAAATTTTGGAGTATTGATGTGTTCTTAGGACAGTTTCGTCCCTCAACTATCTTTTTAAGTCGCTTAGAAATAACAGTCAATAGTTAAATGATGAAAGTTGCTTCTAGTTAATGATCTAGAGGTCACATTAGAAGAATTGGGTTAGCTATGTGACGGCGTAGCTAATTTAAACACTATTTCAGAAATAAAGTTGAATATGGCGCAAAATTTCACTTTATTGTGCACGAAGCTTTGAAAAATATAGTTTGTTACCAGTTTCATTATTTTTCATCAATTTTTTATGGCGAGAATCGTTGTTACAAACACACAAAGCACATAACGTTTTAACGATCGCTTCCATCCACACTATTCAGTATTCACATTTTCTAAAGTCGATTATGATTGACTACAAAAGCTAGCAACCATATAACTAACAGAACCACTAATATTTTTAACAAAATTTAAAATGATATTTAATATCATAAAATTGTCAAAAGAATACTCGACATTTTTCAAGCAAAAACAGTCAACGATATATAAAAATATATGATAGAGCTGTAACAATGTACGAATGTTTACAGTTTGTGCCACGTGACATACGAAAATATAAGTGGCAAAAGTGGTGGATCCAATCAAACCTATAAAAACCATGTAATATAGCTTGTAAAAATACACTTTCAGATATTTATTGATTGTAATTAGTTGATTGCAGTGCAGTTTATCAGTAACCATCAAACAACAGATAGGATTTTTAGATTTGTCTATATGTAAATAATACTACAAATCGATCAATTTGTGATCAAGCTGAGACGACACACAGAAAATTGTAATTTGTAGACCAATTTTCGTAGCAGAGTCGACACCAAGTAATTGTTAAGTGCCATTCGTCTGCTTTAAGAATAAGTTTCTCGAAAGGAGTCAGACTCAAAACTAGAGGATGAGGATGTACAACGGATCGCTGGATGCAATGAAAGCTACAAACTTTCAAGGTAAAACCATTAAAACGCCTTTTAATTATATCACATTTCCATTTAGTTTAAACAATTTATTCATATCGTATCTTCCTATACTGTATCATATTTCGCAACACTAATCATTTCGTATTGAAGATGGTATTTTGTTAATGTAGAAAGAGGTTTCTTATAAAAAATCATTGTTTATTTTAAATGTTTTTAAACTTGCTGCTACTCAGAAACTATAATAAAAGGTCCATACTTATTCCATTGCATACATTTCGTACAAAAACAGTTTAAATTTCGATATTTTAGTATTGACATTATTGTCTGACCTGTGTTGTGATGTATGCTCATTACTTCACATTACTTCACATTACTTTGCATTACTTATAAGTTTGAAAACTATGCGTGAAATATATATAACATGAAATGAAATTTCTTTTTAGTGTGGAAACATTGATTCTACAACAAGCAACAAATACAAATACTTTATTTCTCAAATCATGCATTTTTTAGTCCGAAAATTCAAACGCCATTCGTCATATATATAGCCATATCTATTCCTAATAAAAATGCAAAATATATGATTTTCTCGCACACAAGCGTAAAATTTCAACAGTAAATGATTAAATATTTCTCTTTTTGTTGCTTTGCTGTAAATCGTCACGAAAGACGAAGTCTCGCGATCAATAATGATCAAACCGCAACAACAAATTACCCAACAATTAGGAAGAAGATGATCAATTTGAAAACTGAAGATCCCATTCGTCAATTGCGGAGTTTCACTGATTTCTCCGACCGTAAACGTCTCATCCTTTTGAAGTAAATCATGTTTTGTGCAAATAAAGGGTAATTTTAGTTTTGATTTTTTCCATTGTGCACGAAAAACGTTTGAATCTCTACATTTTTAGCACCTTTGATCTCATATTTGTCAACTGCAAAATACTTTGTTTACTAGAACAATAACTTAAACAAAAACCGACTTCTACTAATGGAGGCACTCTTTATTAAATACTACAAACCAGAACTTAGCAATGGCCTGAAAGCCAGTAATACAATCATATTTATGTTCCCAAAAAAATTCACACTTCCACACTCACACTTCTTCTAAGTGATGGGAATAAACAGTTGTACAGTGAGTTAAAGTTAGCTCTTATATATTTATTATCTGATTATGATTTTGTAAAGAATTCAAAACATTACAGAATGAGATAACTGTCTCGTTTGTTTTCTCACATATTGAGGTCAAAATGGACCTTTTCCCCAGAGTATGTTTCTTATTTCATACATGACACTGAATATTATACATATAGTCAAAAGTGATGGAAACTAAAACAATAAATCATATAATTTATAATAGCAACTGAAACGATAACTGACCGCCATCTTCGAGGACAGTATATGGTAGCTATGCAGGATGCTTCAGCTCCTTTTTGTTCAAAAAAGGTGATAGATATATCAAATAAAACCATAAAGTACTGCTGCTTTTTGTTGTCTATTTAATTCGTCATATTAACCTTTTAGGTAGTGAACTTTTCGAAAAATTGCTGGCCTTTTTGTTAAGTGAATGTTACAGATCTCCTTCACTCCAACAAAAAGGGTTAAATCAAGGGAGTACGAACATGTTTTCAATTTGAAAAAGTCAAAAGACGTGCGAATAGGTTAAGTGCAGGTCTTCTCGGGCCTTTTCAGTGCCTTAATATAATCATAGAGCGTTTATATAAGTTATCTTTCGAGTAGAAAACTACTCTTCAGTTTTTCTATGGTAAGAAATTTTTATTAAGAAAAATAGAATATTCCGTGTGAATTTTATAATTAAATCTCAACACTCATTCTTTATAGAGAGACTAACCACGCTTTAGATATTTTATTTTTACTTTCTAATAAAAATTTTTACAACATATATTTATGGTAGCAATGAATATTTTTTTGCGTAATATTTTTTCTAATAAAGTAAATTGTTTGAACCCGGGAGTATCGTTACATGTTTGCAAATGTAGATCGTCCAGGTTGGTATGGCCCTGAGAAGGAATTTTTTTGTTGTTGTTGTTGTTCTTTTGACTCTGAAGATGACTACCGCTATGACTAAGGTTGTCGAAACGTCAGTCAACAACAACAAAAAGAGTCTTTCTCAGGACTATACCAAACTGGACGATTTACATTTACAAACGTCTAATATTTTTTTCTATTCGAATTAAAGTAAATAAGGACTGATGAGCAAAGAAATGATGTTAATATAACGTAAAAATATTATGTAATCAAATTGCTATTATACAACGATCACATAATTGAAGTGTAAGAAAAAATGTGAAAATTCAAGTTAGTATGCTTACCCTTAAGTTCTGGATTGTTTTTCAGTTCATCATTTGACCTGACAGCAGCATTCAAATGTTGGACGATACTAGATTGGGGATCATTTGTTTTAGTCGACTGTAGGTTTCCAACTTTACATAAAAATTCAAATGTCTCGCCATCCGACATAAGAAATGGATGTTTCAAGGCTTCGTTGGCAGATGGTCTTTCTTCTGGTTGTAGTTTTAACATCCGCGACAGAAGGTCTTTTAATGTTTCATCCTTGATTTCGTCCATGCCAACAGGTTTCCCATTCAACATGTTGATCAGTCTGTGTGGTTTAGTTCCAAAAGGATGTTTCCCTTTTGTTGCAACATAATAAGCGACCATTCCTGCATTCTAAAACAGTTAGCCTAAGTTCAAACCTTTGTTTAATGAAGATAAACACATAATAGCTAATACGTAACTAAATTAATTTGTAGCCCTCTTAGATGGTGCTAGACTTAAATCACAGAAGCGATATAATAAATCAAAATTTTAAGTTCATACCATAAAATTATTTATAAAATTTAGAAATTTAGCCTACAATGCATTAACATAATTGGAGTTCAATTGAACAAAAATAAATTTTTGCATCTTAACTTATAGCTTTCAAGAGACGACAACTTCAAAAATTTAATAACAGGCGGTTGCACAACTTAGTAAAGACAATTTCAGTTTTCCAATTAAAAATGTAACAGTAACAATCTATTGTCCGAGATTAAATTCATGCAATTAATTTCTTATCTTCAGGTAACTAACTTACCTTTTTCCTAGACTTTTTTCAATTTCGGTACTTTTGCCGAAAGTTACTTTTTGCTCATTGGTGTGATCTGTAGCTACTTATTTCCGAAGTTAATTTACCAATCGAAAACGCCTAAATAAGTCTTCCATATAAGAGGTTAAATAAAAGTTTGGCTGTCCTTAAAATTATATCTGCTCTTTTCTCATTTTCTCGAAACTCCGAAAATGACTTAAGAAAAAGTAATGAAATTGACGATGCAGTAAATTCCCACACTCACCATTACATCAGACTTTGTTATGTAACGAGCTTTATCAAACGAGTCTTCTTCTTTACAATATGATTCAGGTGCAATCCAAAACTCAGTTCCCACATTAGCCATGGTTTTTATGCCAAAATCAGCTATGAGAAATTTGCCTTGTGAGTCTCGGAGAACATTGGAAGGCTTTAAATTGCGATGAAGAATGGGATGTTGGCCACTATGAAGATAAGCTAATCCTTGCAAAATTGGTCTGAGAATTTCGGGAAGAGCTTTTTCAAGATCAGACAAAGTAGAAGACTTCACAAAACTCTCCAATGATTCTTCGCATAAGTCTAATATTAAATAGCCATATTCCGTGTCATTGTCTTCCATTAAGTATGAATAGTTCACAACATATTTCGATCCCTCTGCGTTGAGTTCATTCAAAATTTCCTTTTCTCGGCGTGTTAGATCGATGAAGTTATCTCGACGAATTCGTTTTACAGCTTTGCCGTAACCATCGTTTCTCAGTCCAAGATATACAGGTGTTCCATCGTTTCCTCTGCCGATGCAAAACTCGTCTGAGAAAATTACACATACATCGCCAACATAATTAACCTTTCTAAAGGCACTTGCCCTATATTCACACAATTTTAAAAGCATTTTTCTATGCTTTGTTGATTCACCAATGAATTTCCCATCTTGTAACTGCAGTTCTGAAAATGACATAAAAGTACTGCATTATGGAATTTGTGAAACAAATATAATTAACGCCGGGGTTAGAAATCCGACACCGGTTCCCGTGCAGATCATCACCCGTGTTTCCCACACTCACAATAGGGCTAGCATAGGTTTCACATTAAATACCTTAAATAGAAAATAATCAAATACAAATGTGAAAACTAAACATCTCATGTCGGATCCTTTAACAGGTGCTACACATAACATAGAGCGTTAAGTGGGAGGAGGGGGTGGGGTGTTTATTCATTTATTCATAAATGCTTGACTGATTTGTTTTGTTAGCGACTATAATTTCAAAATAAATCAGCAAAGGCAGACCTGAATATATGCGTATTCATCCCACCCCCCCTTAACGTTCTAGTTTCAAACGTGCCCCAGAAGTAGCTTAAATTCACCGAATGCAAAAATATTTTGAAGTGAATTTCGTTCGTTTCTCAAGGAAAGTTCGAGGAAGCCCGAATTGAAATTAACTAATTAGGTTTTATTGTTGATCTCTCTACAATCACATCATTCACATCACAATTCTTTTACAGAAACAACACACCCTCATTTTGACATCATCTCTCAATCAAACTTAGCATAATAAGTTCCCTGACCTTATAGTTTTTAATGGAATGTGCTAACATTCACGACACACTCCTCCTATTTTAAATGTATGTTAATTAAAATATACTTTTCTAAATGTTTTCAGTCATTTCTTGTTCACGTAATCGTAGTCAATGAATCGTTAGGAAAAATTTTCGAGGATTGGAAAACCCATGAATGTAAATTGCTGTAGTCATTACTCTTATCCAAGGAATGCTTCTTGGAAAATTTAACTGACTTGGCAAACTCCTCGACCATTTTTCCTAACGCTTCCTGATACCTTCCGGCAACTGTGCATCCCACGTGATTTTCCGAACACAGATATCTCGAAAGATTACTTTCCCTATTAGAAGGTACAGATTCTTTGAAGAACCGTTCACTTGGTCATTTGAACTTTTTGTTTTGGTAGTGATGTAGACAAAGTATCTTCATGCTTGTTCCATACCAGTCCGAGAAGTTCAGTTTCTGAACATTTAGTTCCTATCGTAGTATCTTTAGCGTAGGTAGACTCTCTGTTCTCGACTTTATCGCGTTCAAGTTCAACTGCACTGGAATGCCATTTGTGCAAAACAAATTGTCCCTTGCTGAGAATCCGTTTTGATTGCTGTTCTATAGTCTCTTCTACTGAATCACCACCCATATTTATATCATCTATGTAAGTCCCGTCAGATAGTTCTTTGACACAGTTTAGATATTATTGTGCAAATTTCTCTATGTGAACATTTAAAGTTCCTTCAAGTAAAAATGTGCTCGGACCACGTCCGAACATCGCTCGAGTCATGCGATGTACGACCATATCTTTTTGTTGCAGATAATTTATCCAAAAGATTCTCATTACGCCTTGATCAATCTCTCTGATGACTATTTGTAAAAATGCTTGTTTAGTATCGCCTACTAATATAATCGGTTTCATTCCACCACGCAAGAGTACATCTAAGATTCTTCTCTGCAGTGGTGGTCCAATGTCAAGGCAATCATTCAATGAAGGTGACCTTTCATCGACTTTTTCTAAAGTATCGTAAACGATCCTTACTTTTGTAGACTCGGCTTTCTCAGGTATAAGACACGTTTTTGCAGAAGATAATGTTCACAGCTTTCTTTTAGTTTCTTACGCACGATTTTAACCCTTCTTTATCAAGTTTATTTACTATGATATTGTGATAAGTGTCCATTATTTCAGGCTGTTTCTCCAATCGGTTTGTCATAGACTTAAACTACGCTTGGCAACCTGATATTCCGTTAGGAATTCTGGGTGATTAGCCCTGCACGGAGGAGATTTTCATACTGACAATTTTTTTCGTATCGTTAACTGTTCTTTAAACTCTTGATACACACTTCCTTAATCCCCTTCTGAACTGTCGTCTAAGCCTAACACATCCAAGTTATAAAGTTGCTTCTAATCTTCAGGAGGGATTTTGGCAATAAAGTAGGAAGGGTTTGTCTCTCGCTCTAGTGATACTATCGTCCATTCTAACATCGTTCTCTTAGCAACTGGCGTCCCATCACCCCCAATTCTGGTGTCTTGATTCTGGAGATTGCACTCACACCAAGAATGAGGTGAACAGGCAAAAGCTGCTTTTCATCATAATCGTGCATGTCTACACCTCGTAAGTGCTCATAATGCTCGATCCGCTGTTTATACATGGGGTTTCGTAAAGTCCACAATACATTCTTTTTGATTTGATTCACATCACATGTCATTTTAAATTTTCCCTATACATCAGCTACTTTAACTTAATAAATATTGACCCTTTTAGTAGCTGTTTGAAACATCATCTTCATGGATTTATTTTGTTGCCTTATTGGTTCTTCTTTAATTGTATTTACCAACTTGCTTGATGCAAAGGAACTACTAGATCTAGTGTCTAAAAGAGCTCGACATTTATTTTTTTTATTGTTACTACCACAGGTGGATAAACAAAATTCTTCAAATTAGGATAACACACCAGTTTTTAACTCTTGTCCTGCTGATCACATATAGAATTATGGTGCTTCCTTTTACAGATATAGCAGTGAATCTGACTCTTACAATTACTTGGTCTATGGTTTTTCCCTGTGCAATTAAAACAGCGTCGTTTGCCTTAAGATCTTTTCACGCTCACTGACAGTCAAGGCTTTGTCAGATAATATGGATCTGTGGGCTTTGTTGTGACAGTACACACATTGCCTAGTTTGGACTTTAGTTAATAGTAGTTTTCTTTTCTTTCTTTCAATACACTCTCTCTCTTTCCTCTTTATCAGTTTGTGGTAGTGGATTTCGTTATATCAAGGCTCTCAAAGCTTCGCAAATGTGAACGTTTCACTTTTCCCAATCCGGTTATTCTCTTGATAAGTCAGCTCGAATGTCCTCCAACTTGCTGTAGTTATTCTGACGTTTCCTGCAACATCTCCCGAGTTACCAAATATCTCAAGCGCTTGAACATGCCCAAGTATAGTATTATTAAAGATATTTATGTTACGTTTTAAAACACAAGTATTACTTGGCAGGGCTAATATTTCGTGTATGTGTGCATTAGCAACTTCACTCGGATCAACATATCTCTCTTTTAACAATGAAATTACAGTTTAATCAGAAAAGGAAGCATCATAAAGAAGAAATTCAGCGCATATAAAAATATACGCGAATGAAAAACAAACAAACAAAGAACAAGAGACTTTGATGAAATCACGTTCTAAAAGAGCTACAACGGTACGTCTAAGCCAAAATTATGATGTATATAGTTAGGAAAGCGAGAGGATGTAGCATGTAAATAGATATATTTTAATTGTTTCATATATGAATATTATTTTGCATCGTGAGTCTTTGATATTTCAGCATGCAGCACAAAAACAGATATTGTTGCTAAGCAATATTACTATAAATTTACTTGAACAAAAACTGTAAATCATGTACTAATTGTAATGATTCTGACATTGAAACAAATAAGGGACAATGGCAGTTATATAATTGACGTGTATGGATATTTCTTGATTTCTTACCTGATACAGATGACTTTGATTTTCGAAAAGGTGGACTATTACGATCCAACTAAAAATGTATTGAAATAGTTTTCTATTATTGATGCAATAATGTAATATTATCATCACAAGTAGAAGTAACTAAAAACATAAACTTGCTGTGATGTTACATTTATATACATTTGCCTTTCACTCTTAGCAATTGTCCTTTATTTTTGATGAGTTTTGAATCCAGTTGAATCAAGCTTCTCTTGATAATTTTCGGTTTCTTTTGCAAACTCAAAAATCTGACACAAGTATTCAGACAAAGTGTAACGGTTACATTTATTAAAATTAATCTTTTATATCTGACGTGCCATTAACTTACCTCGAAATAAATAAAGAAAGAAACTACGGCTTTCGTACATATTTTTATCTATGGCTTTCCCATCTATGCTATTTAAGTGCTTATCAAGTTTGTGTATGTCTAAATTATATTTTAATTTTGATTGCTCTTCTTGCTTTTACAATTTCAAAAAGGTAATTAGACTTTCATTTTTAGTGTCCAATCTCGTATAAGTCTGTTACTAAAACTCGCTTGATAATAAATAACGTTAGGAGTAAAGTCGTCAGCCCTCAGTATTAAATTTTACTGGCTTTTTGCAAACTTAAATATCAGATACAGTAAAGTATTTAGACAGATCCTCACAGAAAATATTCAAAGTCAGCTTGAGTTTTAAAATAGTACACACCGTATGCAATGGCATCAAATCTAAATCATCTTGACCAATTGACGGGATATCGTAATTGGCGATTCTAAGATCATCTAAAATGGAGTAAAAAAAGAAACATGTGACACCAACTTTATTACGCACCATCAGAACAAAAATTTGGCGTCTGAAGGAGATTATGGGATGTGCAATAACCCACAGTCGGGAAACTTTTGCGCTACAGTTAATTTACAATAACCAATGGAAGACGTATGAACAGGCACTGTTTTCACTAGGAAGTTTTCGAATATTGATGTGCTCCTTTGCCGATTTTTTGATACAAATATCTTTTTATATAGGTAAAAATAACAGTAGTTCCGTAAGTGACAGAAGTAGCTTGTAGTGAATGATCGTAATCAAAGTATAGTGATTTTAATGAAAAATTTCACTTTTGTTGTGCCAAATCTTTAAAATTACTTGAAAATGTAGCTGTATCTTAGGCGCAAAAGTGGAACCCCAATCATCCCTTACCAAAAAGGCATACAATTGTTCGATTTATCAATCGATATTACGTGTGTATCTTTGAGGTGGAAAAGACAGCGAACAAGTTTTTAATTCATTCTCGAAACTCGAAGGTAAAGGAAAATTAAAATAGAAGCAAAAGAAAACTCAACAACTGCATTGCTCATAGGTAGACGTTCGGGAGATCTTTGAAATGCTACTTCCCATATCTGATGACATGACTAGTAGATAAATGGATGGGTACGAAGTTGCTTTTAAATTGTTTGACGAATATTTTATCTTCGACAGTTAATATCCCTTAAAAAAGACATGTTTTGCCACATGAAACAAGAAAACGGAAAACTATCCATCAATTTGTAATAAAATTGAGATGACAAGCGGAGAACTGTAGTTTTGGTGATCAATTATCTAAACAGATTGGAGACCAAGTAAGTGATACATGTCCGTCGTCAGGATTAAAAAGGAAGCGACCATAAAGTGTCACGATATGAAACTGAAAGATATACAACAGATCGCACAAGCTATGGAAACCGTCGGCTTTAAAGCTAAAACCAGTGAAACGCATAAACTCCATGAGTAAGTTATGTTTAAAATGAGGGTTTTCCTTAAAAAATACTATTTGTTGAAGAATCAAGGGGATAACAACATTTGTAACCCATTGTGGTATATTTCATTATAAAGGACTTATGTTTGGAATAATATAAACAGCAGATGTGTATCAGTATAATACCAAATAGGTTCTACAGTGATGTGAGGTAGTACAAAATATTGTGGATGATAATATTGTTCTTGGTCAGTTACTTAAAGTGCATCATCAATGATTGAATAAAGTTGTTGAAAAAGAAAGAGAGAAGGGACCAGGGGCGGATCTAGGGGTAGGCACCATAGGCAAGTGCCTATGGTGAAATTACCAAAATATACTTCGACTTAGATTCGATACGAATTTATCGAATTATGAAACTATGAATAGCACTTTATCGCAGTCAAATCATCTGACTTTTGTTTAGAAATGTTGTGCAATTAAATGACGTAATTTTGATATGAATCGTAGTCCAGATGCGTATGATTATCTATAAAGCTCCGTGTCGTTAGGCAAAGCAGCCATTTTGCCTAAGTCAAGAAGGCGATCTAGCCATTTGATTGGTTGTTAGCAGTTTGCCTAAACAAGATGATTTTGCCTAACTTGACATCGTGTATAGGTATTCTGATTGGGCAATTTTTTGCAACCGTATGCTTTCATTGGTCAATTTTTTTTGCCTAACTTGAGCAATTCCAACCAATCATTGCTGTTGATAAGCATAGTTGAGCTAGGCAAATTAGGCAATTGAAAATTACATATACTCGTATTGTTTCTGAACAGCCTCTGTGCTCAGCTTACGGTTTTGTGATATTTTATAATGTCTTCATTGTGTTGTGGTAATTTATACGAGACTGCTCAGTCTGCGTTGGCCAAAAACGATTTAAAATGCCTTAATGAGCTTTATTCTCGTTTATTGGTCGACGTTCGACCTATGTTTACTAACGAGCAGCTGTTAGATAGAATTTATGACCCCGACCATACTCTGTGTCGAAATTTTGGAGCTGAAATATATGTGCCAAAGCACGCTCATGACGGAAAGACTTGTACTGCAATAAGGTAAATATATTATAATTATATATATCGTATTGTAGTATTTATATATACGTGTAAAATGGTTAAATCTCAATTTCGCTAGGCTATATCTTTGTCTACAGTCAGCAATTCATTCATACAATGCAATCAATCTACCAAACAAAATATTAATTTCTTTTCTTGAATATTTTTAAGATCTGAAGCTTCTGGCAATTGCCTCTACAGTTCAGCTTCCTAGTTCTGGTAGGTAACAATGCATTGGTCCCTACTTTGCGAATTTTAACATCGCTTGAGCTATTTATTCATGCTGCTTTTATGCTCAACACCCATGCTTTTTGTCTGTTATAAGTGAGCACAGTGATTACTTTGCCCAAAGCTTAAACAATCTTTTGCCTTTGTCAGTGTCTAAAGAATGTTTAGACACTGGATATACAACAGATGAACTGGTAAAACAGGAGGCTATTTTAAATTGTAATGACCAGAAATGGTCATCTTTTCTTTGTATTTTGGGCCTATCTTCTGTTTTAGGTAGAAAAATTCATACTTTTATCCTGATTCTGGTGAAAGTAGATATAAATTGTTATTTAATCGTATTGTTCAGCCCCGGTTATTAAGCCAAAGAGGTTTGGATGCTATTAATATTTTGTTTTGTCATGAAGGATCTGTACAACCAGGTGAGACTTTTCAGTCTAATCATTTTGTGCCTCTCATTTTCCATGCCCACAGGTTGAAGCAAAATTGTCTAATTCCTGTACACAGTCTAATTCTAGCAGCTCAACAACAGAGAAACGAAAATTTGTCAAAATTTTTCCAAATATTGCACCAAAAACAGTTGACATTTCAAATTTTTTTACTTCAACTAATAGGCCTGCTGCCCAACCAACTTTTAAAAGGATGCCCAATGAGAGTTTTTCTTCTGCTGCAGCTCTTGCTCAGACATTAAATAAAGCCAATAGTCTTTTGCTTCACACATCATCCCAGGAACTATTGCCTGGTATTCCAACTTCTGGTGATATGCAACCTGCTGTTTTAACCCATAATTTTGATGTTTCCTTGTATAGGGAGAAAGTTAAGGGTATGGATAATTCTGAAATATGTCATTTGATAAAAAAATGTATATAAACCAGATAAAAAGTATCATTTTCCTAAATCTAATGGCAGATCATTTAGGCATGATTGGCTAGACCAGCATGAATGGCTTTGCTATTCACCTTCACAAAATGGTGCGTATTGTCTATCGTGTGTGTTGTTTGGCAATAGATTCCCAGGCAAGGCCAGTAAAGTAAAAAAAGTTGTTTACTGAACCTCTTCAAGATTGGAAGAATGCTAAATGCTCTTTCACTCAACATGCTGGAAAAAGTAAAGGGAGGGAAGTCGGTTTGCATGCATCCACATCACCAATTTTGATGCTTTGCGTTCCCAAATATCAGGTACTCTGCAGCCTATCGAGATGATCATGGATGCTGGTATCAAGAAAGAAATAGAACAGAATAGGGAAATACTATCTCCAATTATTGATTCTGTCATTTTTTGTGGACGTCTAGGTTTACCTCTTCGTGGGCATCGTGATGATTCCAAGTATCACCCTACTGTTGGTTGTTATTCATCTGGAGGGTTGGTAATTTCATTGAAACACTCAATTATGGAGTTAGGAGAGGGGATAAAGTTTTAGAAAATCATTTAAAGAATTGTGGTAAGAATAGAAGTTATATTTCTAAAACAAGTCAAAATAAAATCATTAAATGTTGTGGCCAGGTAATCAGTAATCAGATTATTTCTGATATCAAAAAGTAAGTTTTTCTGTTATTGCTGATGAAGCATCTGATTCTTCACATAAAGAACAAATGTCTCTTGTTTTGCGCTTTGTTGATACCGATATGAATATCAGGGAAGAATTCATTTCATTTCTTTTTGTAAGTGGGGACTAAGTGGTGCTCAACTTGCCAAGCTACTTTTAGAGGCTCTAAAGGAACTGACTTTATCAATAGATGATTGTAGGGGGCAAGGTTATGATGGGGCTGGTTCAGTTGCTGGTTGCACTAATGGTCTAGCAGCTCAAATTTTAAAGCTTAACCCAAAGGCTCTTTATACACACTGCTATAGTCATAGGTTAAACTTATCCATTTGCGATTCTTTGAGTATACGTGTTGTCAATGATATGTTGAAACATGTTAACAATGCCACTAATTTTATTAAAATTTCCCAAACTCGCAATATTCCCTTTGAAAACATATACGTAATTCAGAAACAAACTCGAAAAGACTAGATTAACAGACGTTTGCAAAACTAGATGGGTAGAACGTATCGAAGGTTTAGATACATTCCAAGAGCTTTTGTACCTGTATACACCACCCTTAACGATATGTCTGAAAATCTAGATGGTGAGTTCAAACCGTCGCTTCAGTCTGATGCCTCATCTTTGTTTCAACTTATTGACAGGTTTGATTTCGTCGTTGCTTTAGTTATCACGAGAAATATTCTTGATTCAACTCTTCCAGTAACACAGTTATTACAGGGTAAGAGTATCGATATAATGGATGGTATTCATTTAATTTCAACTTTGAAAACTGAGGTGGTGAACATGAGGAATTCCTCTGATTTTTATCATGACACCTGGTATGACGAAGCGCTTGAACTGGCAGCAAAAGTTGGCATTGAAGAATGGAAACCAAGAACAGTGCGCAAACAAACGACCAGGGAAAATATTCCCCACACAACCATTTCTGAGTATTATAAACGTGCAATTACTCTTCCTCTACTAGATCATTTGCAATCTTCTTTAGAATCACGATTCGACCTTGAGAGTGTGAATGTCTATAAAGGCCTTAGCATTGTACCGACGAAAATGATGTCCATGACAAGAGATGGGGTGGATTGGAAAGAGCCATTCAAAACTGTGGCTAACTTTTATTATGATGATTTGCCAAATCCTTTGGCCTTAGATGCTGAACTTAGGTTGTGGTACACTTATTGGGAGAACCACTGCGGCCTCCTTCCTGATAACAATGCCCAGACTTTAAAATCTGTTCATTTCGCCGGATTTGAAAACATTAAAATTTTACTACGTATTTTAGGAACGCTCCCCATTACCTCTTGTGAATGTGAACGATCTATTTCTTCCCTTAGGACACTTAAAAACTATCAGCGAAGTACCATGGTTGGGGAACGCTTAAATGGTTTGGCCTTGATGCAAATTCATCAGGAAATTGTACCAGATATTGGTGAGGTTATTAATACTTTTGCTGTTGGAAATACAAGGCTAAAATTTGCATGAATTTATTCATATCCTAGTTTTTTATTTTGTTGAAATGTCCATATGTTAACCATTTATTGTGCGTTGTACACAATAGTAACGTCAATAGAATTTGCATCAAACTAATAGCTCGCCCGATAAAGGTTTTTTCCTATATACATTCCAATCTTAAAACTGCTGAGTACGTGTATGGTACTCGGCCGTTGTCGACATAAATTTACTTTCACAAAATTGTTAAGCATAAATAGAATAATTTTTCCTTACACCAAATTTTAGTCTTCACAAAGAATCTTTATACAAAGCTCTATTTTGACTATTACATTACATTTACATTCTGCTCATTTGTTGGCAAATGAGAGTGCACATTTTGGGGTAAAGGGTTGGAATTGACTGGGATGGTGTAAGAAACTGAGCAATCTTACATCCATGAAATGTCCCACATAGTCACCCATTTCTAACCAAACTCCTTTTGCTATTTGCTAAAGGTGTGAAAGGCGAGTTTCTGGCGCCTTCAAAACCAGAGTGCTCATTTTAGGTGGGGGTAAAGGGTTGGAATTGACTGGGATGGTGTGAAAATTGAGCAATATCACATCCATGAAATATCCCATATAGTCACCCATTTCTAACCAAACTCCTTTTCAAAGGTGTGTAGGCGAACTTCTGGCGCCATAACCAGTCTGCTTAATTCGGCTCTCACAGGGCTGTCCATGCCGGATCACGATTTTTTGTTTTGCGTTAAAGTGTTCCTAGGCATGCTGATGAGCCCTGATATGGGGCGAAACAGTCTTGTGTGCATTCAATATTCTGAATAGTGAAAATCAACGACCTTGTGATATGTAAGTATAAATATACAATGTTTTTATGTATTTATACGATTGAGATCTACAAGATTCTGCATAGCTGAATGATTAGACTGTTTGATTTAAACAATTTATCGAAAGCATAAATAGTGTAGTATGTTTTGCAAAGTATGACGTCATAGGTTTAGCACTGAATGACGTCATAATGTTTTGCCTATGGTATCCAAAATCCTAGATCCGCCCCTGGAAGGGACTTACTCTCAACTCAGATAAATGTAGATTTCTACATCTAAAACTAACTTTATAGAATATTTGTAACCAGAAAGATGTATTGTCGCAGAGAAGAGAAGGCGAAAGCGATTGCGGAAAGTAAAGAACTGAAAACAACTGAATTTTGATGTCTGCTTGGTCTAGAAAATTTTCGTATTCATTATATCCCCCATTTAGAAGATTCGCAAACCTTTTGCAACAAATAACTAGGACAACAGTATCTTTTGTTTTGGGGGGGAAATAGAGTAAAGCGCTTCGAAAAAATACCAAAAATACGTCTTTTTGCATGCAACGACGAAAACCATTTAAAATTGGATTATGAAGGCTTTTACCAAAAATTAATTGTTTATTTTAACTGTTTATACTTGTTTATGCGATGTTTATATAGACGAAGTTACCTTTTGATAATGATTGCAACCACTTTTAATATAGGCCAGTATTTTTCTCAAAGTGAAAATGCTCAATTTCTTACTAAAGTCCACGACCATGCAATTCTTACAACCTAACAACATTCATTTTCATCCTGAGCCTAATAATACTCCTCTGAAAACCTAATTTTAAACCATTTTTGCATTTCACATGCTACGTAAATTACTAATTGCAACGTGCTTTCCTTCTCGTACAGCATATTACAAATTTAAAAAGTCTTGACAAATAAACAAGTTGATGATGACAGTTAACATATTTGAAAGTTGCGAAATGCTCCGCAATTAACTAAAAATTTTGACGAGAAATGTAAACTACATTCATCTTCAAAGAGACTGGGATCACGATCAATAAACGTTAAAACAAGTCAAGTCTATAGAATCTCGTACGGCATATATATATAAATTAGTAATATTAACATCAAGAAAAAGAATTTTGTTTTTACCTTGCCCTGCCTCATCCATATCTTTGACGATATGTGAATTATCAAGCTAGTATGCTTACCCTTAAGTTCTGGATTGTCTTTCCATTCTTCATTTGACCTGACAGCAGCATGTACCCGAACAGGGAGACTGGGAAACGTTTTGAGAAAATACGCCCTGTAATCGCCAATCTTATAAAATGCTTCTGGTTGTGGTAGAGGTCGTGGTCTATCGTTCCAATGCATGCCAGTATTTCGAATGAGCCTTAAGCATTCTGTCCATGAAGATTTATACTCTCTTCCATTTACCAAATAGTTATAAACATCGTTATCTATTTGGCTTCTCCAGTTTGAAGATTCAATATTCAAATGTTGGACGATACTAGATTGAGGATCATTTGTTTTAGTCGACTGTAGTTTTCCAACTTTACATAAAAATTCAAATGTCTCGTCATCCGACATAAAAAATGGGTGTTTCAAGGCTTCGTTGGCAGATGGTCGTTTTTCTGGTTGTAGTTTTAACATCCACGACAGAAGGTCTTTTAATGTTTCATCCTTAATTTCGTCCAAGCCAACAGGGATTCCATTTAAAATATTGTTCAATCTATGCCGCTCAATTCCAAAAGGATGTTCGCCTTTTGTTGCAACATAATAAGCCACCATTCCTGCATTCTAAGATAACAAGAAATGTAACGTTAACAGCAAAATTAAATTTTCACAAATTAAATTTCGCTGTGAGTTTTATAAATGTTAACATTCTTACACTTACATATACATCAGACTCTTTTTTGTAACGTCCTTTATTTAAATCTTCATTAGGGGCTTCATTTAAATCTTCATTAGGGACTTCATTTAAATCTTCATTACGTGCTTCATTTAAATCTTCATTAGGGCATCCTTTAAATCTTCATTAGGGGCTTCATTTAAATCTTCATTACGTGCTTCATCTAAATCTTCATTACGTGCTTCATTTAAATCTTCATTACGTGCTTTATTTGAACCTTCCTCTTCTACTGCTTCAGGAGCAATCCAAAATCGACTTCCCGTGTTACACTTGCTTTTGTGTGTTTTAGATCCATCCTTCAATATTCGACTAATGCCAAAGTCAGCTATCAGAAATCTGCCATCTACGTCACGGAGAACATTGGAAGGCTTCAAATCCCGATGAAGAATAGGATTTGGGCCACTATGAAGATCAACTAATCCATTCAAAATTTGTCTAAGAATAACGGGAAGAGTTTTTTGAAGATCACTTAAAGAAGATGATTTCACAAACTTCTCCAATGATTCCTCACATAAGTCTAAGATCAAATAAACATATTCTGTTCCAGTATCTCCATCAAAGAAGTAATAATTCACAACATATTTCGACTTTCTTGCATTGAATTTGTTTAAAATTTCCTTTTCATGCTGTGCAGGTTGGAGGTAGTTATCTTTACGAATTTGTTTCACTGCTTTACCGTAACCATCCTGTGTCAGTCCAAGATAAACACGGGTTTCATCACTTCCTTCGCCGAGCCTAAACTTCTCCGAGAAACGTACATTGCCCACATGTTTATTGTCTGCTCTGGGATAACACAATTTTGACAACAGATCTCTATGCTGAACTGAATGACCAACATATTCCAACTCTTGTAACTGCCATTCTTTAAATGACATAAAAGTATTACAATCAGAGGTGAGTGCAACAAAACAAATCAAACTCATAAGTATATGTAGCTCAAATTTACTCAAATACGCTTAAAATTTGGTAACGACTTTAAATTTTTGTATAATCTCAACACCAATCATTAAAGTTGTCAAAAATTAATCAATCATGCAGACATATACCTATCAATATTAAAGGCAAGCGATACAGAAAAATGTCATCTGTCTTATTCCCATTGCCACTATCTTAAAACCATACAACAATGTTGGATTCGTTCTGTCTTGTAAACCTTTCTTTTCGTAATAGTTGAAATTATTTTGCCATATAACATAAAAGATTTTTTTTCTCCAACCCATCCAAATACATTCTACATCAACCTGAACTTCTACTTTGTATAAACTCATTACTCATTCCTCTACATTCTAGAGCATGATTCCTCTTCTCCGTTGCATGAAAACGTTTGGCCTATGGTCAATTTACAATAACCAAAACCGTATGAATAGATAGTGTTTGTAAAAAAATTGCTAAAAATGAGCACTTTCCTAACTAAAGCTAAGACTTCGGCATTCATGATGATAAACAAGTAGAGGTTCCTTTTGTCTTTCTTCAGTGTATTCATACATCTCCTATTCTTTGATTTTTCTCTACGCTTCTTACTGTGTAAAAAACTGATAAGAAGTCAAACCGGAATGAAAATCAGAATTTGTTCCTCATTCGCGTAGTGCCTCCTTTGCAGGCTAATTTTACGCTTGTTAGCCTTTTTGCTTTTGTAATTTGCTTTTGATCGCATGCGTTGATGCCAATTTACACTAGTTTGAGCATTAATTTGAGTTTACATTGATCCCGGTTTCAATTCATACCGTTCTGAACTCAGTCGGATCAGTTCAGCAGCCAGTAAGACTTCAAACCGCTCTGAGTCATTTTCGTAACGGTAACGGTCCCATGTTAACATCTACTGGAAATAATATTATGACCGAAACAAGCTGGTACCGAAGTTTGATTTCGTTCCAGTCACGTGTAAACAGGGCCATACTCTACTGTCTACCTCTTATTCTTGAAACATGGTGTTCTTGTGTCTTTTTCATTTACATACATACATGCATTCTGTGAATAATATTCATTCCTTATTTCTATGGAGTAATGTTTCGCATGTCACGTGGAACCAAGAAACTGTGTACATTGCGTACATAGTAACAGCAACAGTGTAGTGCAGGGGTCTCCAAACTTTACAGCCAGAGGGCCACATGAACTTTGATCCAGCATGTTGAGGGCCGAAGAATATAAAAAATTTCCACGTTACCCTTCAGCTTTTTAAATTTCGCAATGTGCTTGAAACCGCAGTGGATAGTTGGGAGAAAAATTGACGTAAGAAACTCTTGCTAGTTGGCTTGCAACATAACGTGAGCTTTCTGCACAAAGTTTATTTTGTTTAATAATAATATTATTTTTCTTAAGTGCCTCTCCGGGCCGGATTGAGAGGCGCAACGGGCCGCATCTGGCCCGCGGGCAGTAGTTTGGAGACCCCTGGTGTAGTGAATATACAGTAGAGCCACTCCATTAATTTTTTTATGAAATGCATATCTTATTATGCATGCCATTACCATAGTGGCAGCCAGTCAATTGCTTTTTTTCTACAAATAGGAATGATAAAAAGGCTAACAGCAGACAATAATCTAATTAAATATACAGCAGCAAGTTTTACAAGATATTGACCTACTGTATGTTACCTATACTGTTCACAGCTCTATCATATATTGTATACGGCAATGACTGTTTTGACTTTAGAAATTTTTGAGTATTCATGTGTTCTTAGGGCAGTTTCGTCAAACAACTATCTTCTTAAATCGCTTAGAAATTACAGTCAATAGGTAATTGATAAAAGTAGCGTCTAGTTAATGATCTTAGGAAACATAAAAAGAATTAGATTAGCTATGGCGTACATAATTTAAACATTCAATCAGACATAAAGCTCAATGTGGTGAAAAATTTCACTTTTATTGTGCACGAAACTTTAAAAAATATACTTTATTGTCAGTTTCATTATTTTTCATCAATTTTAAACGGCGAGAATCTTTGTTAGAAATACACAAAGCACAAAACGTTTTAACGATTGTTTCCATCAAAACTATTCAATATTCTCATTTTCCTAAAGTCGATTATGATTTACTATAGAAGGTAGCAACTATACAACTAAGAGAACCATTGCCATTTATAACAAAATTAAAAAAGATATTTGTATCAGAAAATTGCCAAAAGCTTATTTGAAATTTTTCAAACAAAAACAGTCAACGCTATATAAGAATATATAATAGAGCTGTAACAATGTACGAATGTTTACAGTTGTACCACGTGACAAACGAAAGTATAAGTGGCGAAAGTGGTGGATTCCAATCAAACCCATAAAAAACATGTATTATAGATTGTAAAAATACACTTTGAGATATTTCTCGATTGTAATTAGTCGATTGCAGTGCAGTTTAATTGTAACCATAAAATAACAGATATGATTTTTAGATTTTTCTCTATGTAAATAATACTACAAATCGATCAATTTGTGATCAAGCTGAGACGACACACAGAAAATTGTAATTTTGTAGATCAATTTTTCTAGCTGAGTCGACACCAAGTAATTGTTAAGTGCCAGTCGTCTGATTTAAGAATAAATTTTGTCGAAAGAAGTTAGACTCAAAACTACAGGATGTACAACAGATCGCTAGATGCAATGGAAGCTACCGACTTAAAGATAAAACCAATAAAACGCGTTTTAATTATATCACATTCTCATTTAGTGTAAACAATTTATTCCTATAATATTTTCCTATACTGTATCATAGTTTGCAACACTAATCATTTCGTACTGAAGATGGTGTTTTGTTAAGGTAGAAACATATTTTCTTATAAAAAATCATTGTTTTTTTGAAATGTTTTTAAACTTGCTGCTCTTCAGAAACTATAATAAAAGTTTCATACTTATGCCATTGCATACATTTCGTACAAAAAAGTTTAAAATCCGATTTTTCATTATTGTCTGACCTCTGGTGTGATGTATGCTCATTGCTTCACGTCATTTTTAAATTTAAAAACTATGCGTAAAATGTATATAATATGAAACGAAATGTCTTTCTAGTGTGGAAACATTGCTTCTACAACAAGCAACAAATACAAATACTTTGTTTCTCAAATCATGCATTTTTTTAGTCCGAATGTTTAAAAGCCATTCGTCATATAGCCATATCTATTTCTCATAAAAATGCAGAATATATGACTTCCTCTAACACAAGCGTAAAATTTCAACAGTAAATGATTACATGTTTCTCTTTCTGTTGCTTTGCCATAAATCATCTCGATAAAATAGGCAACAACACATCAATGCATAATGTTTCCCCTTGTCCTCTTCCAGTGCATCTCCTTGGTTTCCCTCTGTACACATCACTCACTGACACCTCCCTCTGCCCTCTAGAAACGTACTCTACTTTATCTTCACCTATTCATCGATATGTTCTGTTTTGTCATACCACTTTAACATTCGTCATTTTGCTTATGTTGAATAGTTTACCCGAGGTTTGCATTCAATTAATTATCATATGTGAGTAAAAAGGCATGAATGTTACTTGCCCTCCATATTAGGGTTGCGACGCTCGTTTCTGGCTTCACTTGCTCCTTCATAAAGTCTTGCAGACGACGCTTCCATTGCAAGCAAGATCTGTCAAATAAAAAAATGGTAAATAAAGCAACAATATATATTAAACTATCACTTGTCAAGCGTCAAAGACCTTATGAAAACGTTTGCGACTTATGCATGATAGTAAAAAGCTGTTTCACGTGAAACAGATTCAATGATTTGTTGTATAAAAATGAGCATGCACCACATTATTGATCTCCAAAATCAGTTTTTTCACCCTCTCTATAGTCTTTTTCGTCACTATTTATGACCAGTTTCAACAAGAGTTCTTTGAAGGGCATAAAGTCAGTACATTTAAGGATGAGTCAAACTAAGACAAGTAAATGCACAAGAGTTGCTCCGATTTCACCAATCGATAATAAGATTTGATAGTAAATGTGCATTTTGTACGAAAAGAGAGCAACAAAATTAATAATAATTTTTCTCATTTATCCAAACATATCTGATACGATTAGAGGGCAAGCTGACCTGAAGTTACTCAAAAGTTCTGCTTATTGTGAGCTGTGTATAAAACCTTGTACGTATGATTTGAAAGTATTAAAGTTAAAGTTTTGAGAAAATATTGCATTGTCTAAATTATTTTTTATTTTATTGCGAAAGATATAGTAGGTGCCATTGGTGTAAGTCCAGTTCAGAAATACAATGTCATTGTTAAGTGTCTAAGAAGGCGTCATTTGATTTTACTATAAACGCATAAAATATTTTACATAATGTAATCAACATCTAAATATTCATCATAATGTAATCAACAAATGATCTTTAACCATGGTGTCGATACACAAAAAATAGGCACGCAGTGCTTAAATGTGTACGGCTTGTCAAGTAAATGGCCACAAAACGAAGTAGTTTCACAACCATAGTTCAAATAATAACGCATATTTCATATTTTCTTAAACAAACATGTTTGAGTTTTAAAAATTTGTTTTGTGCTTAAAATTTTACATCCCAATGATTTATTCATAAACTTCAAGATAAATGGATAAGAGATAAATGGGTCAGACACCTATACATGATTATGGCGTATACGATAACTTCGAAGAAGATGACTGACAAGGAAGTGCAGTTTGTTAAATTCATTTAGTGTCCAAAAACTACATAAATCTTTAAAAATACGTACACCATAAGCTATTAGTTTATAGTTGAGAAATAGAACTAGTTATTTAGTTGAACAACAGTAAGAATCGTTTCCAAAAATTTCTTTGCGGACGTACGCTGGGAAATGACGTTTAACAAAAATCATTAAAGTGCTTATCCCACAATTTTTTTTTGATTTCCTGATTGAAGTAAAAAGATTATTGTAAAAGATATTTTACAATTTTCTGATTTATGGCTTCGTTTACGAGATAAATGCGTTTCTTTTCTCAAAATGGGCAATAATGGAGAAAAATTGCTGCGCGTTTAATTTGCTTGATAAGGGCCTGAATCGAGAAGTATGTGCCGTAATATAAGGACAGGAGATTTTGTGAAATGTTATTTTTGCTATAATTAATACTTTATCTACTCCGTCTCTGCATCAAAATGTCTAAAAGATGTGCAGTTTTTGGCTGTTCGAACCGATCAATATCTGCGGAAGGAATTTCTCTTCACCGTATACCATTTTACGGTGATGAGCGTCTTGAAGTGAAGCGAAGACGTAAAATCTTGGTGAATTTTGTTGCAACAAAACGCGCTCAATGGACACCGACTAACTATTCGGCTGTTTGTTCCGTTCATTTTACTGATGTGGATTACGAAAAATACATGGTAGAAATCTCAGGGACGAAGAATTATACACCAAAGCTCAAAAAAGATGATTTTGGAATCACTGCTTATCCAACAATATTTCTAAAAGATAATAAACCAAAAAATCCTACACCTACAGAAAAACGACGGGTGTATAAAAAGATACCATCTGCAAATGAATAGCGATTTGTTCGTGGTAAGCATGTCGCAATTATTTGTTGCTTCTTTAATGTTTCATTCTGTATATAGGTTAAAAAAATGGTATAAGATTTGGTAAGCGATTCATGCTCTACTTCAACTGATAATTTTATCAAAGAAGAACTCATCACTGAAACGATTGCAGAAGAACTCCCAATTGAAAGTACTTTAACCTCCGCATCTAAATTGGCTGAAATCAATAAAATAGAACAGGTATTTAAATTCAGTTCAGTGGCGTGAAGTGATAATATATTTTGAAGTACATGTATGCCTTTGCAGGCCCTTCAAACGGTTGGCACCCAAACATTGCCTGCAGATTGTTCTGAGTGTTACAATCTGCGAAAGCAGAACAAACGATTATCTGGGCAGTGGCTTTCAGTAAAACACAAATTAAAAAAACTTAGAAGAAAAAGTGTGCTTTCATTGCCAAATTCACAATATTGAGAATGTATCATGTTTCTCATTGCTTTTATTTTTTCTCATCCATGCAGTTGCAAGGGACTGCAGCATTAACACTGAAAATACTTCCTCAACATGCAGAAATTGATCCTAGCTCAAACCTTGAAGATGTGGAAAGAGAAATTGTGGATAGTGAGGATGCTGATGGTGATGATTTTGATGTTGAAATGGAAACAAGTACTGATGACACAGAAGATGATAAAAATCTTGTTGATAATAGTGAGAGTGTTTATGATGATGATGAATACTCAGAACCAACGTAAGATATGTATTAAATAGAAATGCTACTCTGGCTTCACACTAATTAGTATTTGGTGTTACTTCTTTGTTCTTTAGAATCAACACTTCTGACCATGTGCAAAAGCATCAGAATACATTGTCTTCTTGACACAGCTAGTTGTTTAAAACATACATGTTTTGTCATTGAAAAAATCCATTGGTTCATGTTTGTCAAGTTGAAACAATGGTGATAATAAAAACCATGTGCAAAAATGTTGATTGTCGTAAAAAATTTGTTTGAAAAAGTTAGCTATTGATGCTTGATACTAAGATTGCAGCTGGAAACTTTCTACTTTCATTTGCAGTCTTAGTGGTAGGATCTTTAGCCAGCAAAACATTTCAAGCAATGAAGCATATTTGACTGCAAGTTATTTTGCTGCCAACATACTTTAGACATCAGCAATTATGGCATGTTTCTTTGGCTTAAACTAAAGATTTTGAGAGTGACTAATATTTTAAATTACATTTATAGAAAATTATTTTCCCATCAATATTTATATTTTGGAGGAAGCATCAACGGAAACTGCTGAAAAAAACTAAAGAATGTTGCTCAGTTGTTCTGGCAGGTGATGACAGTAGTGGCAGTTTCAAAAGAAAAAATTTAGCCGAAATGTTTAACATACATAAAGGCAATGAAAAGTCACAAACATGCGGCAGATTGCCCAAAAATATAGGAAAATTTAATTTTAACATCACTCGTTTATTTAATTTTCTTCGTACCTACTAAATTCCGACTTTTTATCATTAAATTTTGATCTTATTGCATGGTATGCACATGCTGGGAATGGTCTTCTTTCTTGTCTTAAGCATCCATAAATCATAGATGTGAATTCTCTGTACGCAACACATCGTAAAAACCTGAATATAAATCCAAATTGTTACAAACGTGTGATAAAACTAAAATGTACTTAAATACTGGGAAATAACATAATATGCCATTATACATGTTTTCAGATCCTGTTTCTCTGTATCGTCGTTATTTTCAGGTTTTGTATTTCTTATCAGCCATTTTTAGCGAAGACTTTTCTAAAAAACTAGGCTGAAACATGGGTATAGAGTGACACAACATGGAATAGTTGACAGATCTGCCAGAATCGACTAGTGTGTTATGCTTTCAGCTACAGACTCAAGTTTTTGGCACCACCAGGCCTCTATTGGGTTCTGAAGAAGTGTAACATGATAAAAACCACACTTGCACCTAAATAATAAAGAAAACCACATTAAAAAATTGTAATCGAGCATCTTTTAACAATTTTTTGCTCAAAAGTAAGTGAAAAAGCGAGAGCAATATTGAATAGAAAATTGCACGCTTATGTATATATTTCATAACTTGAAACCTGAATTAAAATACATTTCATATGTTGAATTGAAATTAGAAATTTTATTACTCACCAAGAATTCAACTCAACTGTGTGACCAAGGCTTTTTTGTAGCATTTCAAGTTGCTTTTTATGTTCATTTGACTTTTCAACGTAGTCTTCATACCATGCTTAAACGGCCATTGGTTCATCAGCGAAAAGATAGGACTCGGACTCTCCGTGATTTTGATGTATTGTATTATAATCCTGGTCATTAATGTTCTTTGCTTCATCTTCGATGACATAACCGGGAACATATTCATACTCCGTATCACATTGCGAAATATGAGAGCTTTCCAAATCAGAATTCAACTCCGCCATGTAATTGTTGATAACAAGCGCTTGACTTGTTTCTTAAGTTATGTCACAGAGACTTGATCCAGTCCCTATGCTAATTATCAACTTTTACTGTCAAATTTCATACTTGATCATTAATAATTCGAAAACAACGCAGCGCATGAAAAAATTCTAATGTAAGTTTCAGATTACTTTTAAAAAAGAAATACGAAAGTGCTATAAAAAATGTAAGATATGCACTTTAAAAATTCAGGCAAATCAGGAAAAGTAAAACTTTTTTTATTTTTCTAACAAGCCTTCTTTACTAAATTATCTTTTTCTTTATAAATTGAAGCCTTTTACAAAGTTAAAGTGTAAGTTTATTGGAAATAGCAGTAGTGCTAAAATCACGATTTTAGTGAAAACGAGGCTGATGGCCCCAAAACTTGCCTATTCAACAATAATTTTTAAAATCAATGCCTAAATATTGACCTATTTTAGTTTAATGGACTTTACGGCCATTATAAATTGTTTACACTACTTTTTCAAAAAAAATGTATTTAAAGAAAAAAAATGCCCTTTTTTCCGGTTGGACTACTCTTTTCCAGCCTTTAAAAACCGCCTTTTAGTGCCCCCTTCATATACCCTTTAATAATATTTCCTTCTCAATACCTTTCCCATACCCTTTTTAATGCTTCCTTTTCGCACTTAATTCATTTATACATTGTA